TTTCAATGTTTATTATACAAAAAAATTGGACAGGAACGAGGATGTGCAAATAGGGATACTGTTGTGCAAATAGGGATACTGTCCCACCTGAATCATTGATTTATCCCACCTAAAGAATTTTTTAAAAACTGTGTTTTACATTTGTAGACTGATATTTTCCTTTTACAAATTTAGAATTTGGTTCTGGAATAGAAGTTTCTTTATAAAAATCAGTGGCAACTGGTGTCCCTTAAAAATTGCAGTGCTACCTAAGATTCCTCTATGCTCATGGTGGATTTCATATCACTGTCACTTGTATCATCCCTGTGTAATCCAGTCAAAATAAATCCCAGTTTGGTCACTGTGAGAAAGAGTATGGCTGGGTATTTCTGCTCAGAAATTTGATGCTGAATTAAAAATACTTGATCCCCACTATTTAGACACCAGGCTGCATTTCCATGACCCTCACTATACACCCAAAGCAGCACCGTGGGGACATGTATGTATCTCAGAAAAGAACTTACACACACAGAATCACAAACCAATAAAGAACTCTTGAAAAAAGTTGGTCAGCTAGTTTTCCCCTGAAGTGTTTTATGAGGTTACTTTAAATGCTAACTCAATTCTGAATCAAACTGAGAAGAGTTGGCCCACCATAACAGTGATTTAATTTCCCTTTCCCCTCATTTTCCTTTATGATGCTGCACTGACGAAGAACACAAGAAGATCATTACAGAAGTCTTACAAGTATTTTAGAACCAAAGTTGACGTTACATGCAAATATATGTAACTCTGAACCAATGAATTTTTTTAAAAATGGCTTTAGGAAGAGGCAATGTAGAGCACAGAAACTTCTCTTTGTCCCTACTTCTCTCCTCCAGATTTCAAGTGCAACTATGGACCTATGTTGGGGGGAAGTAGGATGAGATGTGTGATTTGGAGTTGAGAACCACAAACAGAGAAAGTCTTAAACGCCTCCTCCACTCACCATTCTCAAATTCACATAGCCTTCTTTCCCCAAACTATTTTTGAACAACAAGAAACTCCATCAGGGTGACTAATATGTGTCAGTATGCATTGTCTAGATGAGCTCTTAAAGACAATGGCAAATATCTACCTTAACACATTGCAAAAATCCAAGACTAAATCAGCAGTATATTGCTGTTTCCATGCATAGTTTGCTTTGAAAAGCGAGAAAGCTTTTAATACTCTTTCCAGCACATATGGGTCATTTTACTGTTGTTTCCACTATGTATTTACTGTTCTTTAAAATCACATTTGCTAAGGTATAGCAACTATTTAAATTTTAGGAAAATGCATGTCATACTCACAACAAATGTGTCTTCTACTTTGGCAATTCCTTTCCCAAATATGGTCCCTAGCTGATCTCCAACTCCAGCCAACAGAAAACCAAAGAGAGGAATTCCTAGTAAGGCATAGATGATGCAGAATATCTTTCCACCTTCTGTACGTGGTGAGATGTTCCCAAATCCTAAATTACAAACAACTTGAGCTGTTGATAAATCAGTTAAAGGCATTAAATTATACATCTAATTAGTGTTGCAGATAAGGAAACTTTAAAAACATTCCCTGGGAGTACATAAATCACATCAAAATAGTGCAACATTCACATAGACATCTTATCCTAATTTAATTGCTAAAATCATCTCAAACTGAACTGCATATGAAATGCTATATGTAGAATCAATCTGCCTTCCTAACACAGCTGGAAGACATTGAAGAGCCCTCTTAATTTTCACATAATGATATTATTGTAACACTTTACTCAGGCAGGCTTCCAATTCATTTCAGTTTTTCCTGGTGGTTTCAAACAGGGCCAGACTCTCATAGGTAAAGTATCATTGGCAGTACAATCCCAGGCAGTTACTCCAGTTTAAATCCATTGATTTCATTGGGTTTAGCCTGAAGTAACTCTACCATAGGATTAAACTGTACATAATCTAAATAATTATATATCTAATATAAAATTCACAACTACACTTACCATGGGAAACCTCTCTCCCATCAATAACATTTTTTTTAATGTGCATCTGGATAAAACAGCTATTATTTAGTTAAGCAGAGGGGGCAGGAGTGGTAGAGTCAAGTAAAGGCACAGATCTCCTTAGTAGTGTAAGTCTTCCCAGTCCCAGACTTCCAAAAGGAGTCACTGTTCCTAGTGGATATCCTTAAAGTCAGGGGTCATTTTGTAGAAAAAGAGGTGGAGGAGCTCATTAGCATAACTCATTAGCATAACTTATTTGCATATGCCACACCCCCTGACATCACCGGAAGTGTGTCAGAAGGCAACACCCACCGCTCAGGCTCCACTGGACTGTTTTGGATTGCAAGCTATTGGGGGGGGGGGACCTGCAGATCTGTCCTCACAGAGGAGGGAGAGCCTGTACCTGAATAAAACTTGGTCTTAAAGGTGCCACTGGACTGTTTTGGACTGGGGGGTTGGGGGGGCTCTGCGGCTTACCTGGCTGCTTCTTGTTCTGACTGAGGGCTGCTGGGAGCAGGGGGTGGGGCTTGTTGCATGTGCCCACCCCCTGGGCTCTTTACTGCCGGAGCTCTGCTCCTGTGTGCTCCTGCAGGAAATGACCCCTGCTTAAAGTTCTCTTGTTCTGAAGCTGAGAAATAATTTAACAGGCAATGGGTGCTAAAACTTAAAGGTGTGTTTTGCTCCAGTGGAAAAATTAAAGCAACTAATTTCCACACTAATAGAGAACACCAGTGTTGGGCTTAAGGTCTTAAATAATATTTATTTAAAATATTTATATACCACTTTTCTGTTGTTTGCTCAAGTCAGTTTCCAACAGATCATACAAAAATATTAGAATCTTTAAAATAACAAGATTCATATAATCAGCAGATCAATTTCCAAAGGGCTATTTAAATAAAACTGCTTTACATCTTTTCTTAAAGATTACCAGGGGTGACACTTCCCAGACTTCTCTAGGCAGCCCATTCCAAACAACTGGGGCTTCCCCCGAAAAAGTCATGAAGCTGTCAGGATCCACTGTAGCTGGGTCTGAGTCCAGAGCTGTCTCACTCTCCATGGTTGTTTTTTGCTGGGCAAGTGCCCCAGGATAGAGCCTCAGAATCACACAAGAGGAGGGGGGTTCCTTTCAACTAGTTTCCCCACACTGCTCTGCCAAGTACTTATTCCCACTTGCTGGGCAATGGATCTGACTCTCCCTGGCCACTCCTGGGCATACCTTTTAAATGATTCCCCAAGGGAGGGACAACCATTGGCTCAGCCAATCCTCCCTCCCCAATCCAGTCCTGGGGAGTGACAGGCCCCTGGGTCAATGGATACTTGCCTTGGATTAGTGAGCTCCCTGGCCCTTCCCCCTAAACTTCTTCAAAGAGCTAGCTGCCCCACCCAACCAGAAAAACTAAACCAGATGGCTAAGTTCCATAATAAATGTCAAACCAGGTTTCCAACCATTCAAGAATGATGGAGACAATTTTGACAGAGCATTTTGGATATTAGAGAATACTGTTCTGTAAATTTCTGACTACATAGCCCTATTGAAAAAAGATATGGAAATCAAACCAGTATTCAAACCTGGAACACAAACCCATCTCCAAACCATATACACAAAATATCATTTCAGTTTCTTAATATTCAACTGAGTGATTGCTTTGCAATCACTAAATTTTTATACAAACAAATGGAATATTGAACTGGTACATTAAATTCATGGCTTTACTACTTTTCTCGTTCCATGAATTGCTTCCCATCTTTTACCATGAAGCTCTGTTACAAAGAAAGCTACATGGACACAACAGCTTTATTTTCTATTGGAGATGATCTTGTGTCATCATTCGATTTTAATTCAGTTTGGATCCTTATTCCAATGGCTATTCTGTCAGTTGAACCAGCATCCAAACTCAAAATTCTCTGTTCAGTGCCTTTCTTTGCAGAACTCATTGCAGCTGGAGAAGTTGATTATAATGACAGTTCTAACAGGATGGACTTTCAGGCGTTACTACAAAAGCAGAAGCAATTACAGTGTGAAGAAGGATGAGCCATATGTTTTATGTAATATGCCTTTCAGTCTGGAGAGCTATTATGGGCATGGTTCCCAGTTCGGGACTTACAATGAATCTGAAGACTATAATCATGAACAGAGACCCTGACCCATGAAAACTGAATGGGAAAACTGAATAAGGTTAAAAGACCAATGGTGACTTAACTAGCCTTTCCTCATTTTGCTTTACTAAAATTGAAGATAATTTATCTCCTCCTTCCACAAAATACATGCCATATTAAGTATAAATTACTCAGTACCTAGCACCTGAATTAATTATATACATTAATGTTTCACTCTCCCAGACAAGTGCCTCTGGCCCATCCATCACTGAACTAATAATTCAAACACAACACACTGATTGCTGAACTAATAATTCAAATACAACACACTGATTGCTATACTTAGCAAGATGATATTGTATAATTTTAGGAATGCACTATAGGCTGTGGTCAGACATGCCTTTAAATCCAACTTAGCTGTGAATGCCTGATGGAGCTAAAGGCCATGATCAAACAGCAACATCTGGGAAAGGTCCTGCAGCCGTTGGCACCCCGTGATGCCCCGCCACAGACACGGAGTTAAAAGACACCAGGGAAAGTCTGGACGTAACACTTGCCAATGGGCCACAGACAGACTTTCCTGTCTGATTGCTCAAGTATGTCCTCATGCCGTCAGGATAGTCTGCTCATTCCATCCCGACTCGGTGCCATTTTTTCCCCTTGCTTAGCAGCATGCGCATAACTGCATACTCCATGGGGAACCCTCAGTGTGGAAGTGTGATTACTCATTCATGCACATGGGAAACAAAAGGCCAAAAAAACCCCACACTCACCTGAAGGTGGTGTCTGATTACGCAGTGATGGGCTGAGCCCACAGCACTGTGAGTCAAATTCCACCGGAGGAAACGGGTGCTTCCCCTCCACACCAACTGGCACATCTGATCGCAGTTATACTGCATTTACCTCTGTCTTGCCTTTTCCCTCCTTCAATATGGTAAAACCTGAGTCCAGTAACACTATCGCACAGGATCAGTGATTCCTCTGTCATAAATGAAAATTGGAGTCCCATACACCTTCTGAGCTGTGCATACTCATATTGCAAAACCATGCCCAGTTTGTTTATCCAGCCAAGGAAATCAATGCATATAACCAGACATTCACATGCATATGATCCAATGATAACTGCAAGCACAAATCAGATGTCTACTGGAATTTACATATGGACGTAGTTGCCATCTATTCCACTAAAATAGCTTTCAGATGAATTATCTTTCAATGGAGTGTTGTGCATTCAAATGTTTACCCAGATGTGCATTCCGATTGCCATTCTGGTATTAATAGTCATTTGTAAATGCCTCTTAAGTTCAACAACACTAGACTAGACTGTGACTATTTGGATTTGACTTGTTTTATATTAGCTTTAACTTATTTTATATTAGCTTGTCTTAAAACACACTTAATAGTATTGGTGAATATTTCCCATAATTTATAACTGATAAAAATGTATACACAGTTGGGGGCCATGAGGATCTTATTTAGGAAAGAACATTGTCACATAATTACCTCCTTTTAATTCAGTTCATTGTTCAGCATTGTTTCACTTTTATTATGATCTGTATCCTTTCACAGTACTGACTATATTTCTCATCTTGCACGTAACATCTCCCGTTAGAACAGCTGTAGTATGCTATACTAGGATATTGCTATCATTTGGCCCAGGATTAAGGAATCACTGTATAGACAATTCTTTTGCATATACTGAGCATAATAGTCTCATTCAGATTATTTTCATTGTATTATTTTTTAAAATCAAGTATTATGAACAAAAAAAAACCCCTCTTAATCTTTTTTTCTGAGAGCTTTATGTGTGCCTTCACACAAGATGTAGCAAGGGCAGTAGAGGTGCAGGGCCTTTCAAACATATTTACTCAAAACAACTTTAAATTTGGTAGGAATTACTACTTAATAAGCACGTTTGGAATACAGCCTAAGTAACTCATGGTTCCTGCTTCTGCATTCAAGACTCGTATGAAGGGGGAAATCTGCACTTCCCCCTCACAAAACCTGAAACGGTAAAGAAAAGGAGAGCAAGTTAAAAGAAATGGAAGTTACCACATTTCCTTCTCTTGTTGCTTGTGTCTTGCATGAAGGTATCTTACCTCTAAATCACAAACTACAAAAAAGATTTATTGATGTTCTAACAAAAATACTTTGGTCAATGAAGACTGGAGACACACAGTGAAATGCATCACTCTTGTTCTCCTGAGACTCTCCCTGGCCATTCTGTACCACAGGCCAGAGTGTTCTTTCTTCCAGTTTGTCTTGCTTGAACAGATTGGGACAGTACTACTTTACAGAACAAATCACAGTGGGGGAAATGTCTAAACAACCAACCAGGTCAGGTAGATCTACAGGGAATGGACATACCTGGGACACTAACAGGTGGGTGG